AGACCTGTATATTCAGCATTCTGACTCCAACGGCAGTCAGGCAGTTGCCTTAGGAAGATTCATAAGCAGGGCATGGTGGTGATAGCATATATTGTTGCTTGTCCCAGCATCTGGTAATTAGAAGATGCTATCTCTGAACACATGGGTAATAAATCATAGATAAATCTGTCCTCTGTGAATTTGCACTTATCCTCTACAAACATATTTGAACCAAACAATTACTTACAGGAGCTAGTACTGTGTTGTGTACTCGATTATTATTTATATGTTGCAGCTGGAAGGAACATTTATAAAATTCACATGGAGATTGTCTTGGAAATTCCTTCCTCCGAGGACTAGTTTTAGCAGTGTTATTTAATGTCTGTGGAATATCTTTTGGAAAGGCTCTGTAGATTGTATACATTGGTTTGGATGTAATCTGCATGTGTGTTCTAAAGTGTCCTGGAAATTCTGTGGATGCAAAATATCACATGAAGAAGGCTCTCCAGAATATCTGATTGAGGAAGAGCAAGCATTTTGAACTAAGTTGTTTGAGGAAACCTAAGAGTGGGACGCGGGTGGTGCTGTGGTCTAAACCACTGAGCCTAGGCCTTGCCGATCGGAAGGTCAGTGGTTCAAATCCCCGCGACAGGGTGAGATCCCGTTTCTCGGTCCCTGCTCTGCCAACCTAGCAGTTTGAAAGCACGTGCAAGTAGATAAATAGGTATCGCTCCGGCGGGAAGGTAAACGGCGTTTCCGTGTGCTGCTCTGGTTCGCCAGAAGTGGCTTAGTCATGCTGGCCACATGACCCGGAAGCTGTACGCCGGCTCCCTCGGCCAATAAAACGAGATGAGCGCCGCAACCCCAGAGTCATCTGCGACTGGACCCAATGGTCAGGGGTCCCTTTACCTTTTACCTAAGAGTCAGCTTAATGAAGTTGGCTGATTTGAGCTGCTTAGAGATTGGGACATATTTATTTGGTCATACACAGGTGCTTAATGAAATAAACCTGTGTTTTCAGAGCCTTCCTTATATTGAACTGCCACAACTACTTCCCTCTATCCTGTTTTACCAAGCAACTTCAGTTCGCCAAGCCCTTTCACCCAGACAACACATGTAGCCAGCAAGCTAGAGTTGCTCTGATCGGTTTCATGTCCATGTGTGTATATATTCACACCACTTCCTCTGATTGGGGCAATGTAATTAGCTCTTACATTCTCAGCATACCTGTCACCTCCTAATGAGGGCTCCATAAAACAACATCCCATGATCCAGTTTCCTGCAGCACTTCTGGCCAGTTGTAAATCTCAGCTTTTACAATTTTGGGACAGCAAAACAGATGGAATAACTTTTTTGTTTGCGAGTCTGCCTTTCGGGACAGTATTTGATTTCCTTTGTATAATCTGCATTCTTTACATAAAATAAACGAGTAAAGATAAATAATAAAAGTAAAATTATCAGTGCTTTACTAGATCCTGCACAGCACTCAGACATGCACAGTTCTGTCCAGGACCTTGCCTTCATGGTTACAGGGATAAAGGTAAAATGCTGAAGGAGAGAAGAAGGGTGTGGATTATTGCACCAAATAGGATACATCCTTCCTCTATGTATGTCATTGTGAAGAATCACGTAGCGTTAGGGCTAAGGCAGTGATTATTAGATGTGTATATTTCCTGATCCAAGGACATAAACCCACCACACTTGCCAAACATGTTTTGTTTGACTTGGATTGGGATCTTTCTGATTTGGACAGAACAGTCAGAAGAGTGCAGTTCTGTTCAGTCATGTGTTTAGCAAAGTGTTGGGGTTAGGCAAAGGTTCATTTGCCTAGTAAGAATCATTCAAATGTCACATTGAAAGGTATTTGAAAGGCATTGGGGGGGGCGGAGTTCTTTTTGTCCTGGTGCCTTCCTTTAGGGTTACACAGGCTGGATCAAAATGAATGGGAAGGATAAGTTAACACTGGCGTGATTGGTAGTGACTTTAAGTGTGAAGCATTAAGGGTTATTTGGGAGAGCTGTTTTTCCCTGTTTGTTTATTTTTATACTGCCCCCCCCCCCCATTTTTGACAATGTTGTCTGGTTCTTTATGAAATGGCACCAGGTCAGCAACTGGAATGCCCATCTTCCATTTCAATCTGAACTTTTCAGTGTGTCAGTCTTTCTTGAGAACGCTACACTCTGCTTTCTTTTCTAGGAACAGCTACAACCCTGGGTTTTATTAATAATGCTCGCTTTAGCTTGCACTGTGCTGTCCCTGTCTAGAATGCAGGACTTGATTATTTTGGGGTCTGGTTGTGCATTCTCCATGTGAAAGTGATGGCTTATTAGTGATTGTACATTCTGTGGGAAGAAAGGAAGGGTGGACTTGCTGACATTCTAACCATCTCCACAACTTGGATGAGAGAACTAAATGAATTGCTGCCGCTCTTTCCCAAGTTTCAGTGTTTGTCACAAAACATGAGAAAATGGTGCTAGATGAACAAGCGCTAACTAAATCTCATCAGTGGAGCAATTTACCATCAATAAATTTAGATGCTGTGGCGGTAGAAGCATTTCCAAAGGTAACTGCTTTAAATCACTTAGTGGTTGTATTAAACACCTTAAATCACTTATAATAGTGATCGTATTAAACAGCTGGTGCCAGCAAGGATAATCTGCATATAAATACAGCCTTTCCACAGCATCCTTTTTTGGATTGCATCTCTTGCACACAACCCACTACTTAGGGCTGCACATAACCTTGATTGCCACTCTTAGAGCTGACAGCCTTGACAATCATCCATTTGTACAGGGGAATGGACTGAAGTCAGCTCCCCTTTTCTCTCCCAGCAGGTGATCAGCGCACTCTCAGAGTTTGACACCACCATCTGTCCAGCAGGCCCATGCACGCCAGTCCTTGTGCATGATAGCCTGTGTATAGCTCATTGCTCTGGACTAGAGTATGTGATTTAGAGCTGTAGAACGGATGCAAAGTAGATCTAAAAAAATAATAGTCATGGGCTAAATGATATTAGAATATTATTTTAATAAGGCATTGACCCATTTTGATTTTTGCGACACACATGCCAGATAAGCACTTAGGAATGATGGGAATGCTATTTAAATTATATACATATAGTGCTTAAATGGTAGGTTAGTATTAGTTTTTTTCCCCCCTGTGACAGCCTTACCCAATGTGGTGTCCTCTAGATGTTTTGGCATACAGCTCTTTTGATTCCAGACTACTGGATAGTTGTTGTCCAAACCATCAGGAGAGTACATTAGGGAAGGATGACCTAGAGAATCAAAACTAATTCAGTTTCAGTTTAGGTTCCAATCCTCAGTGGGTTTTTCTTTTAGAGCTGATCAACAAAAATGAGAAACTCTGATTTCCATCCTCCGTCCACCTTTAATGTGATCAGAGTTCCTTTCTCTCTCACAATGCAATCCTGTGCATGTTTACTTGGAAATGTCCTGTTGTGTTTTTGTCATAAGTGTGTTCAGGGTTGCAGCCTTAATCTGGGAACAAGGACTAGGAGGAAACAATTGCGAAAGGCTGCTTTGGAATATTTCTCAGTTATATAGTTTGATGATTCAGTGTTAGGGCATGTAAGAAAAAAATGAGAGGCATTAGGGAACATTTTTTGATCCTGTCCAAGAATTCGCTAGGGCTAGGAATCATAAGGCTGTTTTTAAAAAATAAGGTTAGGTCCCCTGTGTTCTGACTGCAAGCGTGCTTTAGCATAATCAAATTGCTCCAGCGATATGAATGGTATGGTGCCCAGTAAGATGGTGTTGGAGAGTAAACAAGGGAAACTGAGAGCTAAGACCTTTGGACTCTTTGTTTCTTGCTGTTAAAAAAAAACTTAATGGGGAGAAACAAGTTGCCAGGAATATGGAATAATGGAATATGGAATAACGAAGGTTTCAAAATAAGGTGTGTCTCCTTCTTCCAGCATCCTTGTAGCTACCGGCATATCTTCTTGTAACTGATTCAAGAATCATATCAACGCCAGCTCTCCAAGGGAAGTATAACGTATGGTTATGGGAACCCGGATACATAGTCCCAGCCTTGCACATGTGTTCAAACTTTCTATTCTAATATTTTCCTTCTTAGGAATAGAACCAAAGATATCCCAAAGTATAATAACTCAGCCTCAAATTGTACATAATGGCTTTGCTGGACACTCAAATACAGGGATTCTTGAGCTATAAACTTTTTAAGATTTAAAACTCTGCCAGTGCATTAAAAGAAGAAAATGCTTTTTGCTATATGTATTTATTGTACAAAAAAAATCTAAAAAAGGACAAAGAGAAATTGGAACAGAAGCAATGGTTATGATATACTGGACAGACTAAAGCCAGTTACAGAACAAATTTAGTTTATACAACACAGAAGAGAAATATAGCCAAGGCAATCCTTATTTGTGTTTGCTTTCCTCTAATTTTCTTTTTCTAAGATGTATGTGAAATAACAGCTGTTACAAGATCCAGTTGTTCTGACCCCAGTTCCTCATAAATGAGTGCCATCTTAATTTAATTTTTGTGTTTTCAGTCAGTAACCCCTATGGGGCAGGAGAGATTAGGAAATATGTGCAATGGTGGATTTTTGGCAAAGCGAACAGCTAGGAGCTTGTTCAACTGAGAGAGGAATACTGTTTTCACGGTAAAAGGTCTGTGACATAATTCTTAACTAACTCTAAATTTGTTAAGTGAAACAGACCATAACTGTGTCAATTTGATAAATGGCAATGAAACCATGTAAAAAAACAGCATCAAAAATAGGGTATGATATGGCATGATTTTTGAAGGCAGCAAAATGCCAGCAGAATTAGATTGGTTTCTTTTTTCCAATAAATAGTTACAGTGGTACCTTGGTTTACGAACTTAATCCGTTCCGGAAGCCCGTTCTTAAACCAAAGCATTCTTAAACCAAGGCGTGCTTTCCCATAGCAGCGGGGAACTCAATTTACAAATGGAACACACTCAACAGGAAGCGAAACATGTTCTGCTTCCAAGGCAAAGTTCACAAACCAAAACACCTACTTCCGGGTTTGCAGCTTTCTTAATCCAAGTTGTTCATAAACTAAGCTGTTCTTAAACCAAGGTACCACTGTACTGAAAAATTTACAGAGTAGTCCTAACACTCAGATCCACTGGCTGGAGGGGTTAGGATTAGGCAGAGATGCCCATGGAATGCAGCATGGACATTGCAGAGTGGGGATGGGTTGGGGTGAATTTGAGTCTACTAGGTTAAAGTCCCCTTCATTCTCTTGAGAGAGGCCCAACGATCAGGTTCTCTCCACCTATGTCAGCCTAAAGCTGGTATAAATAATTTCCCCCCACTGGAATCAATGGGCGGGGTTTTAAAAAAAAATCCACCACTTCACGCCCCACCCCACTTAGAGTAACTGTCAGTCATTTCTGTGCCTTTACGTTTTCCTCATTTCTGGATTCTGTAATTAAGTCTCATACTACTGGTATAAAAGATATCCCTGTTCCACAGATGATACAGAGATAAAGCTAATTTGCCTCAAAGTTACACCAAAACTGGTGCTGAAGCTCACAGAAGAGTTAAATAGTTTTAAGAGCAAGCCCTTTAGTACTAAGTATTATGCCATCCATTCTCCTGTTGACACATTCTTGACTCGCAGGAAACAGCAAAAAACTGTCTTTCTAGGACTCCTCTTTTCCCCATAAATGAGGCACAATCTGTAATTGTGCTAAAAGTCTAACTTCAGCCTCTTCTCCCAGACTTAATTATTTGGCATGGGTTCTTCTCGCTCGTCCATGACAACTTGGGGGAAACTAAAGCTAGCTGGACATTGGCTGACTAATTCTAAACTATTAAAGATCTTCAGAAAGATTTGATAGCAAGAAGAAGTACCTAAATGGCCGGTAGGTGTTTATTTCACTGAGAAATCAGCTAGTGAGTTAGTTTGCCCTATGAGCATTGTATTCAGTGGCATGGCAGTAACAAGACACTTTGTGGCTTGGAAGTCAGATATAACAATGTGTGGTTGCTGAGATTGCAGAACTACGCAGTGTATTGCCTTCGGCAGGAAAGGATTCGACACCAAGATTCATATGCACTAATCTTCACACACAGCCATTACAAAAAGAGAAAGCACAGACATAAAAGTATCTCTTCTTGAGCTCTAGGGTGTGTCACAAAAGGGAAAGCCCATCCTAGTCTCTTTAAATTTTCTTTAACCTTCTATAGTGCAAATGGTACCTTAGCCCAAAGCAGTCTTTCAATACAGACAATTTTTACAGTGAACATTCAGCATTTTTAAGTCCAGATGCTTTGCTTCACTCCTGCAAAGTCTCTGAGGCCTCCTCAAATGTCCTGATAGGATGGCCTCTTGCTTCCAACGTGAACTGGTATCCCTTTTGTAGAGAAAGGCAGCCATTCAAGATGTTGGTGGATAGGTGTGAATGGGACACACACTGCCCCAATACAACAGAAGTCCCTGTTGATTAACACCAGCCATGGACCTAAAACCAACTTGCACCTCTTGGGGAAACTAAAATGACTATATGGCACGATGCATGCTATAGTGGCATTAGCTTTCCTCTCAGAATCCCAGTTTCCCCTCATTGGCAGTCAGTCTCAAGACAGCCAATGGGTTTCCATCTGGAAAGGTTGAGATGACAGCTATGCACGTCCCACATGCAGGACTGGAGTGAAAAGCTCTGAACTCTTATTTTTTTATATTTTAATTTTTTTATATATTTTTACATTTTTATTTTGTTGTTCAAGTGCTGTGTTTGGTCATGTGATCAAAACAAACAAACAAAAACAATCTTAACCAGTGAATGGCCTTTTGGTCATGTGATTTAAAAAATACTTTGCCTGTGTCACTTGTCATCCTCAAACTCATTTCTTCATTTCATACCCACAGGCACATGCGCTCACATGCTCACACTCGCGCTCACACTCACTCATACACCCCTATGACATTTATGCACAGTAACATCAACAAAAAAGTTAATAATAATAATATACTTGTAGGACTGATATTTACATGCATACATCCAAAAATAGCCATGCCTGTTTGCCTTTTGTGAGTCAAATTACCCAAAGCAAAATACTATCCCATCAAAGGAGCCACTAGTAGCAGGTGAATTGGAATTATCTTTCTAGTTTAGCACCATTGGGCAGTAGAAGGGTAGGGTGGGGAATCAAACCACCCAAATCCCAGAAAGAAAACATCCACGTTTCAGGTGAGACCTGCCCATCTATTTTGTGTACCGTACTTAATGGGTAGGCTGCATTAGTGTTTAACAGGAAATGAACGGTAAAATGGACTGTATCATTGCAGTCCTAAGCGCACTTACCCCAAGGTAAGCATTGCTGAACATAGCAGGGCTTATTTCTGAATAAGCGTTCATGGGATCAGGTTGCATGCCTCTCAAAACAATCCTTAATGGCATTTGTTCTACTGGGACTTTTATCTCCACATGTGAGATTCAGGAATAGATTCTCCATCACTCTTAAGTTTTCTTCACTAACCAGAAACTCTGTTATCAGGAATGGGAACCTTTGGCTCTCCAGGTGTTGATGGACTACAGCTCCCATCATCCTTTACCATGCTTTCTGGGGCTAATAAGAACCAGGAGTCCAACTATATGTGGAGGGCCCTGGGGTCCCTATGTCTGCTCTATATTAATGAGGTACGCATTAACCAAAACACAATGAACTGGTAAAAAAATAATAGAGAGGTTATGAAAATGTTCTCCAGTTATCAGCCATTCCCTCAACAATCCCTTCTGACCATAGTCTCTGTGATGTACAAATGCATCTAATGAGCTACTTGTAGGCATATCCCAAGACAGTGATTCCATCCCAATACAATTAATTGCATATTCTGTGTTAACTCTAAACTTCAGCTATTTTCAGCTAATCATTTTGAATGTCTGCTGTTATAACAAGTTTTAAAAATGTGTCCTGTTTCTCTGCTGACTGTGCAAGCAAGTCACAGCAATGAACTGTTTTTTGGAAAACTACACTGCATTCAAAAATAGACATTTGGAGATGTCCCATTGGAAGAAGCCCAACTCCTAGGGATCCAATTTGACCATGATCATCTCAGTTTTCCACAATGATGTGTCTATATCCTTCCACCCCCTACAGCTGAGCAAAGCCACCAACAGGAAATTATATTTAATGAAAAATAGTTTTGTCGTACACTTCCCCCCTCTGCGTCTCGCAACAGGGAAGAGTTGTGTAGTGCAAAGTATGTGGCCCTGTGCCATAGCAGTTCAACTAAGAACAACTTCTTAAAGCAAGATTAAAATCAAGTATCTGATAACATAACAGCAAAATAAACCCTGGCTGGTCTTGGCAGATTTCAAACTGGGTTCTAGGAAGAAGCGTTTTTGTGGAACATTTGTTGCGACGGTCCTCTCTGAATGGAGATTTTGTGTAATAATATCTGCTAGATATTAGATAGCTGCGTGAGGTAATATGCCACATCAGTGAGGATTATCACATTGATTCATGCTTTTCCTATCACAGATTAACAGTCATCTGCATGTTATTGTCACATTCCTTTTTCAATTCAAACATTCTGATTTCAGTCCCAGAAACAAAACTCAAGCCTGCTTATTGATTTTAAAACAAACTGCACAACTATCTTCCTACTCTGTTTTTATAGAATAGTGCCAGATATAACAGTCTGAGAGTATGACACTGCTAACCTGAAATCTCACTTCTATACACTTCCCTCTTTTCAGCTTCCAACCACAATTCCTTCTAAAACAATAACAGAACACATAACTCTGTTTTAAGTGTGACATAAAACCAGTGATGTGGCCACTGCAACTGAATCTGAACTCATGTTCTACTTCTTTTTATACTTCCAGAAGCAGAGAGGCAAGGGGCTGGAAGACAAGAGTTGTAACAGGATACTAGCTAGAATTGCCTCCTGTACACTGTAAGACCAGTTCAAGATCCCCTTTGCTTTCTAAGCATGCATAGATACTGTACACTTATGCACTTTAGAAAGCAAACATGAAAGTTGCATCCTTTGGACAAAAAGTAACACTGAGTTTCTCAAACCCCTAGTCCTTTATCAAAGCCAGTGTTATACATGTGTGTGTTATATATCAGTAACTTGGCTCTCTAGGAAGCACACCCTCATTAAATTAGTAAAGCATGCTGTTGCCAGTCTGAATTGGATTTTCATGGTTCAGGTACATCAAGTCTGTTGGACTGAGGAGGCTGCAGGCACAGTCCTCCTGAATCTGTTAAGAAAATGGGTTCTTCAACACTGTCCTGATTGTCAAATTGACCTTGTTGCCAGAGTGGGTAATGATAACAGTGGTGTTCCAGTAAGAAAAGCAACTGTATTTCAACTAACGTTAGAAGAGGAATAATGTCAAATGTTCTTTGTATTAAGGAATGAACTAGATGGGGAAAGAGACCAGTGCCTGATTATTTCTTTTCCTTTAAAAGTCATCTTCCTTTTCTGTACCTCTTCACCAATCTCTAGTGGAGGGCCTTAGCTCCTTAACTCACAAGCTGATCAATATGCTCTCTCTCTCTCTCTCTCTCTCTCTCTCTCTCTCTCTCTTTCTCTTATATATATATATATATATATATATATATATATCCTGCTGTTATGCAAAGAAGTGGTGTCATCCCTTAAAGATCACTTGGTAAAGTCAATGGCATCAATCAAGGAATCCCATCTCACATCTTTTCTTTGAACCATCTGCTCCTATGCTCTTTCCCAGTTTAAGGAGAGATCCTACAAAGCTAATATTTTCCAAAGGGAAAAGCAGAGGCATGAAGTAGAGGTAACTGGGCTTGATTAAAGTATTGCTGTACAAGTGACTTCTTTAGTACATCTGGCAAAGGCCCACAGCAATGGAATCCTTCAGAGAAAGAACAAGAACAAATGAAATCGATCATCATTTTCCATTGCATCAAAAGGACTGGTGACATTTCTTCAAATACCAGATTCTCTTCAGACTTCCAGAGAAAGCTGTTCCGATCAATCACAACAATTAGAGATTTATTTCTTTTGATTTCTCAGGAACTGGAGAGAAAAAAGAATGACATTGCTCTACATCACCATGTAGCAACTGCTCAGATTCCCCATTGATAAAAAATACCAATTCCACTCATGTCAAATTGCTGGAATATATTTTTGTTAGATAAATCTCACAGTAAAAAAACATGTAGTAAGTACACTTCTCTTCCCTCAGCTTTTTATTCTAAATACAGTATATTTTAATATGAAACTAGCAAGATATGTCCTTCATATTTCTGATATTCTCTTTTGTGATGCTTGGTGGCACACTATGAAGGAAACTATAATTTCGTTTCTGTTGTTTTTAATCTAATGATCCACCCAAAATACAAGCTGCAGAAAAAGGAAATGAAGGTAACAAATATAACATATTGAGAACTTAAATGCTTTGCAGTCACCTTAAAAAATCCAAGTGACCCCAAATCGCTGAGGATTCCTGGCTTAAATCCTGTCATGGGCTTCCATCTGCAGAGCTGCTGTCCTGTATATACTTAAGCTAGCTAGTTCATTTGCACAAAGTTAAGTTAATGTAATTTAGCATAAGAAAAGGTAAGTTTGAGTGCTTTGAAAAAGAGTGAAGCGCTTCAGTCTATAAGTGCTAGAGAGGGGTAGTGTAGCGCAAAAAAGAGCTGATCTCTGTGCAACCTTGAGCAAGGGACTGTTCCCTTTTTTGGATTTTAGGGTTTAAACCCATGAGAAGTGCTAAGATTTTGCTTAGCTAGGGCAGCATTGAACTCCCTAGCAACAGGGTAAGAGGCAGGGTAGGGAGTTAAGATTTTCCACAGCGTCTCATCCTATGCACCTTCATCCAAGCCTTCATTCAAAGTTTGCCCAACATTCTGGTACCCTGTAACTTCAGATCAGGAAGGCAAAGATTCCAGAGTATGTATCGACCTACAAAAGGACCAAAATTTGTCCATACAAGAATTGAACTGGGTGGTGATGTACACAGCTTCTTTAATACAATAAGTGCTAGATTTTGAAAGGTGGTAATCTGTAGGATGAATTAGTTCCTGGTGGTCTAATCTGATTCTTTATCCATCAAAAAAAAAAAGCAACTTCAGGAGAAGTCGAGTGACATAGTTTAGCTGCTTTCATGCAATAGAACAGCTGTAATTCTGGCAAAGAAGTTGATGGGTGGCTCAAAAGAGTCTTGCTAAAAAATTTGAACAAACACTTGGCTCCAGGGTCTGCTACAGACTCCCCTCCAGTCCATCACCCCCACACCCAGGTTCCAGACCCATGACAGAAATTTCTGAAGGGTTGCATCATGCCACACAGCAGCTCGCTAGACAGTCCCAAGCAGAGAAGTGGAGAAACAAGCCCTGAAGCAGCAGGGACAGCTGAACTCTGGAGAAACAGGGATTCTGATTTCATACTGTCATGAAAATAGCAGAAGGGAAGTAAAGACGCCACAATGGTATGAGTAGTCTGAGCCTGACTGTTTGTTCCAGTTTGGCGCAATCAGGCATTGTCTACTTCAGAGAGAATTCTCATTTGCTCTTTCCCCTTCCTTCATTAAGCAACTGCAAATTCTGCACCTCAGATTTATTGGAGAAATTATGAACAGCCTGCAGAAGCAAACTCTTGCATGAATAGAATTCATACTTTGACCTCACAAATAGAGGTGCGTAAGTCTACTTTCTAAATGCCATAAATAACCTGGGGCCACCTATTCACTATAAGAGCTTTCCTACACCTAACTTTTTTTCCTATTTGAATATAGAAATACTTCTGCAAGAAACAAAGTTCACTATATATGCCATTTCATCTGCCTAAGTGCTTCAGCTTTTGAGAACAATATTTCAGTGGCTCCTTCAATCTATAATTTGGCTGCTTAATTGAACAAGTGAGTCCCCCCTCCCCCCAAACAGACTACATTCAAACTTTTGTCCCATCACAGATGGAAAATTTACAGGGAATGGTTGAATTGTGGTGACTATCAAACAGCAACAATTTCTAATTCACATAGGATGTGAACCACTAACTAATGGGTTGCTCTGTTGGCTCCAAATTGCAGTATAGCATTAGTCACTTGGGTTGAAAATCCACACTGGAATCAACACCTTGACTCCACATTTAGAGCCATTATAGGTAACACCACAATTACCAAGACCTTATACTCCCCTAAGAGCTTCTCCTATTTAAACTTTTATATCCTCCTTTGATTCTAAGAATCGTAAGCCATGGATATGAAATCCATAATAACCCAACATCTTCCCAAGGCTGTCGACTCGAAGGAGGCCAGTGACAATATCTACAACCAATTTGGCATTATCAAGTAACTTACATCTGTCTGGGGACATCAGTGTAGAGGCTTCAGCAGGCATTCTATCTGACCCTTCTATGCCAGTTTCTAAACCTAGAAATCAAGCTCAAATATGGCATTTGCTAAATGCCCAGTGTTTGGCTAGTGTTTCATCATCTGAAGAGGAATGATCTTTTCAATATACTGTTGAAAAAAAGTAACACCAACTCTAGATTAAATACATTCTGTGGCATAAAAACAATTAGAGACCATTGCATCTCTTTTTATGAGTTAATGTATAATTTCCCTATGTTATCCTGGGCTTTGTTGCCTCAAATAGTAGGAAGCAGAATTGCACTGTGTTTCTTGGTTAGGGAAAGGAAGGTCACACTGTAGTTTCATGGAAGGCTATAGACAGGTTAAGGATCTACATAAGTGCATTTTAGAATAAAAAGAGCATTGATACAACAGTGAAGGTGAAGAGGAGCCAGACACAGCAACGCACTCGTGCGACTGCTGTGTTATTAAAAACTGCCTAACACCAACAAGCCATTTTCCCCAGAGATGGGGAACTTGCAGCCCCTAAGATGCTATTAGACTTCACATCCCATCAGCCTCAGCTGACATGACCAATTGTCAAGGATGATAGGAGTGGTGGCCCAACATCATCTTGGAGGGACATGGGCTCCCCATTCCTGCTCTAGCCATTAGAAACAATTCTTGCAAGTAGCCAAATCATATGTGTGTGTCTAGTTCAGTTAGCAAAGAAAACCATTAGTTCTATATATACATTGGGTGGGAGGGGGCCTTCATCACTGAAACATTAAACAAAAGTTATGCTTAAAGGAAAGCTCCAATGCAGAGAATGATTCAATAAATAAAGGAAATATTTCTCCTCTACTGCATCTTTGACAGACTCCTACCCTGCAAGTGAAAACCCTTGGTGGTATAAGCCAAATTATGCCAGAGGAGTAAAAGGGGACAGAGATCCTTTGTCCTCACATGAACAAGACTCTTTTCCCCACTACTTCAAAAATGAACTTAGGTTAAGTACATGTTAAGCTAACAGCAACTTTGAATTCAATGAGTTGAGTTTACAGTTTCCTAAGGACACTAACACTGAAAGATATCCACTTTGAAGTGGATAGTGTCAATCTGCATGAGGGATACTGAAACTAAGGAGGTGGACTTACACCCAAGGCAGATGGAATTAAATTTTTCCTCTGATTGGACAGCTCCTCCAACACCCGTCTAAGTCTACGGACTACACTTCTACTTCATCACCTTGGAACTATGCATCAGAGAAAAACATTGCAAGTGGACTCTAGTTTCTGTTTCTTGGGCATCTCCTAACTTTTAAGGGAGTCTGTCTCACAAAAGGCAGGCAGGTTCAGCAACCCTCAAAGTCCCACATCATATTCACCCTCCCACCCACCCCCCAAAATGCCAAATATTCCCCAAGCTGGCTGGTCCCTTTCTCTGTCTTTCTTCATCTTAATACAAAATATTTACCTCTTTTTCCCCTCTTTATCTCTATAGCTCCATACAACATTTTATTTAACTTAACAATCACAATCTAGGAAGCTTTCACTGTTTGTAAACGGGTTGAAGAGCCTCTCTCTTTCTGATGAACTTTCCCCACTTTGTAATCATTTTACTCTCAGATTGAGAGAGAAAGGGGGTTGGGAAGAAAAACAATACCAGTAAAAGTAAAGCTTGAGCAATGATGGGTCAAACAAAGGGTTTCGGAAGAGAAGAGGTCATTTCAGATCTGCCTCAGCGAGGAAAGTATTGATCCAAGCCAACTCATTCACTCTCCAGTAACGTGACGTCTGTTTTGATTATTGCACAGTGCATGATGTCACTTCAGAGATTTTCAATACAATTCTATCCATCTTGTTCTTTCCCCACAATTATTTTCTCTTCAGAAATGTTTTAAGATGATCAGGAATGGATTCATCAGTGTCAGGATGCATCATCGAAGCAGGAATCCAGGGAAATCATGAGGAAGGAGTGGCAGGACAGGTCGAGGGTTTAAGAGCATCCACACCTGTCAACAACCATGCCAGGGATTTTGCCATAGATTATCTGCTGTTTGTCATTGAAGTACAGCATGTTGATGGGGGACATCTTGGTGGGTGTACAGCAAGGCCCAGCTGAGCCCCGGGGATTGGCCTGCTGCACCAGATGGGTATGAGGATATTTCTGCATGAACATATACTCGCACTGGCCTGAACAATAGTTGGCTTTGTACCGCTTGGGGGCGATAATCCAATCCCAGCCGAAGGCCTCAAAATCAACAGTCAGTGGGTAGCGGCAGCAACGGGACTCAGTTGAGTGCTCGTCGCAGTCTAGTCCCAGGTTCCTCCGGGACCGTTTGTTGTTCTCCAGCACACGCAGCTCCATGAAAGGGTGCTGGGGGTGGGAATGGAAGGGAGAAAACAAAAGAGTTACGTGTTTATGTGCAATGTCTATTTACCCGCATCACAAAGACAGAGATAGCAGGAGCCCAGCTCACAAGGATAGTTTTGAAGCACACCATTTCCATTCATTATCATCAGCCCACAACCCCATCTTTCCAGCCCCATCTGTCCTCTTGCTCTGTATCTCTTTTAAAACCACATATTTATCTCCCTCGCCATATCCCAGCTCTGTCCAGCTCGAGTCCTTATCTGTCCTTCCAAGACAAGCCATCTTTTCTCCAATCCTAACAATACTTATCACAGCGTACAGTAATTTATCCAATTCCCAGTAGGAGCCTAGAGTATTGCTTTCCCCTTTAGAAAGCCAAGCACAGGCTGACCATGTGCAGCTCGCTCCCTCCCTCCTTCCCTCCTTCCCCCCCCCTCTCTCTATACGTTCCTTTTAAAAAAAAGTCAACAAGAGAGAATGCAATATATGGGCTGCTGACCCATCACCTGCTGCCAGAAAACAAAAATGACAAGATCTGACAAGAGAGACCAAGAGATCAATTTGTAGGTAGTGGGTGAAGATGTGAAATAAAGGGAGCTCCATAAGGAATATGTTCATGTCTTTATGTGATTTTTCAAACCATCTGCATATAGCAAGGTTTCAGTTAATCAGGTGTGATTTTGCAGAGTAATTATACCTAACAGAATAAGCTTCAAGGGACAAGTAAGAGATTAAAGATAATAAAAGGGTAGGGGGAAATAAACCAAGAATATATATTTTTATGAAGGAAAAATGGGGGGGACAACCTTCAAGGTTACTTGAAACTCAGTAAATTACTAAGCGTCTGTTTACATGGAAGACTAGTTTAAGGCTAACAGAATAAGATTGAATCATGAATGTATGTATCCAATAATCTGTAACACGCAATCTCCTTCAGAAAATCAGTGAATTAAGATGCCACTTCAAAATGTGATATCCTGCCAAGAATATCAAATATTTTGCTGAATTCTGGATATTTTACAGGCGGTGGTCTGAGTGTTAGTGAGACTTCAGAGCTAGCACAAATAGGAATTCTGCTGTCTTGAGTTACATAATGTTCAGCCTTTGTGAAGTACAGAAGGTAGATGGTGGTTTTATCTGTTGGAGAGCAGTGAGAGTTGTGCCAGTTACCTTAACATGGTTATTCCAGACCTGTTGATGGGCTATTTACACAAGTGGAGGCCAGTAATATCAAAACGTACGATTTTGCTGTTTATTTAAAGACCAGCTAAGTGAGTGGACGCAGGTGGCGCTGTGGGTAAAAGCCTCAGCGCCTAGGGCTTGCCGATCGAAAGGTCGGCGGTTCGAATCCCTGCGGCGGGGTGCGCTCCCGTCGTTCGGTCCCAGCGCCTGCCAACCTAGCAGTTCGAAAGCACCCCCGGGTGCAAGTAGATAAATAGGGACCGCTTACAAGCGGGAAGGTAAACGGCGTTTCCGTGTGCGGCTCTGGCTCACCAGAGCAGCAATGTCACGCTGGCCACGTGACCCGGAAGTGTCTCCGGACAGCGCTGGCCCCCGGCCTCTTGAGTGAGATGGGCGCACAACCCTAGAGTCTGTCAAGACTGGCCCGTACGGGCAGGGGTACCTTTACCTTCTTTACCTTTAAGTGAGTGAGAGATGCTCGCAAGTAAGACTTAATACTATGATTTGGCATGAAAGCACACCCCTACACTACGTGCAGTACAATAGTATTACAGCCCTCAATGAAATTGTAGGAGGCAGGAGGAGTTACAGCCAAGAGGGCAAACCAATAGGTATGGAAGGGAAAGCACTTCCTTTCTCCCAGTAAAGCTTCCCAACATGTAGCTCACTGGTGACCCTGTACGTATGCAACAGAACAGTGAATCAGGGGCACTGGGGCCATCACTAGTTCTGAAAGACTGCTTCTTCTACTAATCTTCCACTTACTCACGTCAGCACAGCTTACTGTAATGCTACAACAGGGAACTGAGGCATGTTCTCAGTTCCTGACGTCAGCAAACACCTGCAGCTTGGGTGAACTTTGTGGGAAAGGTATTTCTTTGGCCTCCAGCTCTACGTTAGAAGCTAGGATGGAGAGAGAAGAAAAGCAATGCTCCTATTTACCCACCAGGCCTTCAGCACCAGGCCCAAGAGAGGTGACGGCCAGGTCATTGCCATTGGGATCAAAAGCGTTGATCTCGATACCCCAGTTGTTCTGAGGCTGCTTGAACCAGTTCTGCAGTACATGCTTGAAGTCAATGCTCTGCCAGTGGCCAATGCGGGAATTCAGGTCAATCTTGAGTGAGCGGATACGAATATGGCGGCTCCCATCCTCCGTCACTGGTTTGAGACGCAGGATCTGTAGGTAGACCGTGGAGGTATGCTGAACAGGCCGCAGGTACACCCACAGCTGTGCCTTTACTACCTTGGTGAACATGATCTTGGGGCTGAAGTTGAAGAAACAGCAGTGCGGGTTGCCTTCAATCTGTACCACAGAGTCCGCTGGGAAAGACAGAGAGAGAAGCAGTGAGCAGAATGTCTTCACAACCCATTTCCCAGTGCTGTGGTCAGGGGGTTCTGCCTAAGGAGCCATTCACACAGCTGTTTATCACATGTGTGTATGAAAGTACTTTCTTGTTGATTGAATACAGTGCCTGTCAGTGGAGGTAGTCTTGTACACAAATAAGATGCCCTCAACTGGTTGTGTAAATCAGCCTCAGGTACAGTGAATATTAATCTCTCCAGTCAGGTAGTCATTTCTCAAGATACAACTCTCTATAGATCTGAAGCTAAAAAATAAAAGCAATTAAGAGACCCCCTTCTTGCGTATCCTAACATATAAGGGAAGAATAAAGAGCTACAGTGGTACCTCGGGTTACATACGCTTCAGGTTACATACACTTCAGGTTACAGACTCTACTAACACAGAAATAGCGCTTCAGGTTAAGAACTTTGCTTCAGGATGAGAACAGAAATCGTGCTCCGGCAGCACGGCAGCAGCGGGAGACCCCATTAGCTAAAGTGGTGCTTCAGGTTAAGAACAGTTTCAGGTTAAGAACAGGCCTCCGGAACGAATTAAGTACTTAACCTCAGGTACCACTGTACACTGATTCTCAGTTGGAAAATTGGCAGCCATGAAAATGGGACACTAAAATCAGGGGGCGGTAGCGTAAAAAAGGGCTTGGGTGAGAAGGGTCACGATACAGGCAGCAACCATTTCATGTAGGGGTTCTGTCAGCAGAACACACAAAAGTATGCCTCACCCCATTACGCCCCCCTTCCACCTTCTTCTGGGTCCAAAAGGACCCACACATTGGTGATTACGTGTCAGTTGGATGGATCTAAAATGGCACTACCTTATGTAAAAAAGGTTATGCAGCCTAGTAAAGTCAATAGCCTTCCAAAGGACAGAAACTACTTTTTCTAGTGACTTCTCCTTTGCAGCCATTCCCACATCATTACTGAGGATTCCCCCAGCCCTTCAAAACTTATTTTAAGGGGGGGGTTACAAACAACTCTTTACAATTGAACCCTTTCCAATAAAATATTAATACCAAGAATTAAAATATTAATACCAAGAATAAAATGTGCATCATAGGAAACCAAATCCAAGAGGGCGTGAACATGGTCAATGAGAAGAACCAAAGAAATTATCAAAGTCTTCCTTCAGAAAATGGAAATCACATCCAAATGACAACAAAGAGGAACACAGACTTTGTCAAAATAAATGCAAGCAGACAAGAAAAGGTGCAAAAAAAGGAAAGAATTCAATGAGCATCCCTCAAAAAATTAAGACCAGTGATAAAAAATTATATAACTGCATTAGAAGCAAGCCATACTAAAGCCTGATTTGGCACCACCATTTCTCTCAAGGCTAAGTTGATCCACCAGTTAGCATCCAGCACTGTTCCAACATCGTAAACTTCTTGCCCTTTCTCCCTTCAGCATTCCTTTCTTAAGGCTGACTTCAACTAACCTTTACTCAGAGTAGGCCCACTGAAATTAGTGGAGCTAAGTTATTCATGGCCATTAACTTGAATGAGTCTGCTCTGAATAAAAGTTAGTTTAAAACAACCCTTTGTAGCCACTGCCAGCTACAGGTGTGATGTGCCAGATGATGTTTGTGGGGGTTTTAAAAATAAATAAATTCACATGACCATAGAAAGCTAACTTATACCAAGTCAGATCGTTGGTCCATCTCACTCAGTATTGTCAACAGTATTTCACAGGGAGACACCAGGGATTCAACCTGGGATCTTTTGCATATGCTCTACGACAGAGCTACAGCCCTTTGATACTTTTTTAATAAATGTCCACTCCTAAGTCTAAGGCTTCATTTTGGAACCAGATTTTTCTTCTACCTCTTTACTGTTTTCATAGGGTGGCATTCAACTGATGAACCCCGTCAGCAGAAGTCCTATGTAAGGACTTCCATTTGCACAATGGGGCTTTCTCCCCCATTGCTCCCTTCGTTATAAGATCTCAAGGCGTTTTACAGAATAACATGATAAAAACAAGTAAATAGGTAAAACAAAACAGCAAACAATAACCCCCCTCTCTCCCACATACACATTTAAAAGCCTATAGAATATTAATCGGCCAAAGGTCTGGTTAAAGAGGAACGTTTTTGCCTGGCACCTAAAAATATATAATGAAGGCGCCTGGCGAACCTCCCTGGGGAGAGCATTCCACAAATGGGGTGCCACTACAGAGATGGCCCGTTCTCGTGTTGTCACCCTCCTGTGGGTGACGCACAGCAAGAAGGGCCTCGGATGATATAGGTCACCTGTTAGGGGCTAGCCCTCACAAAGCTGCTTATACAAGCAAATAATAAAATATAAAACAACCATTTCAAACTAACTGCTTAGGGCTTTGGCCCAACTGGCCAGAATTTGCCTCCTTTCAGCTCCATACTCCTTTATGAGTCAGGCCCCTCAGGGCTAATACGGCTCAGGCATGGGGGCTGCCTTGCAGGATTTCCCTCACCTTTTAGCCTCAGTACGGCTGCTAGCCAGCGGAACCTCTCTGCGTCACTGCATTTGCCTGCCTTCCTTTAGTGGCTCACTCACCGTGGCAGTCATAGGCACAATGGAGAGGGGTGGCCAGCTCCCAGTCCCTCTCCTCTCCTCACCAAACAGGTGCAGTCTCACAGCACAGCAAGAGACATCTGCTATGACCCCAAGGTCTCTCTCCTGGTTTGAAATTAAGATTTCTTGTGCTAATATGCATCACCTTACATTTGTTTACACTAACTGACTGACTGACTGACTGGCTGGCTGGCTGACTTACATGAATGACCAATAGTTTAAAAGCTTATCTAGCTTCTGATGCAAAGTAGAGTAAACCTTGAATCCAAGAAATATACAAGGTTTTGTGTATTTTGCCTCCTAAAGGGATCGTGTTTCATTTCACTAGAGATGCTGCAGCCTTTTGGGTTCTGCATTCTACAGTATCCTGCAAAAGAATACACAGGGCAGCTTTCAGGACCATCACATAGTCCTTAGCATAGTTAACAATAGTGTTTAAGTGGTCTAAACCACTGAGCCTTGGGATTGCCGATCAGAAGGTTGGCGGTTCGAATCCCTGCGATGGGGTGAGCTCCCATTGCTCAGTCCCTGCTCTTGCCAACCTAGCAGTTCAAAAGCACATCAAAGTGCAAGTAGATAAATAGGTACCGCTCCGGTGGGAAGGTAAACAGCGTTTCCGTGCGCTGCTCTGGTTCGCCAGAAGCGGCTTAGTCATGCTGGCCACATGACCCGGAAGCTGTACGCCGGCTCTCTCGGCCAGTAAAGCGAGATGAGCGCTGCAACCCCAGAGTCAGCCACGACAGAGAAATTGTGTGTTCAATGGGCCACAGTTATGTGGCCTCTAAAATGAGGTCTAACTGTAGCATAAGACTCATGTGTTACTTAACCCAACACTCAGAAAATTCATCCAAATCTATACACATTCTCGGTCCATGTCTATCCATATTAATACTTTGTTGCTTGTCCTAAACAAGTCATACAAAAAAGGACAACTTCTCCCATACCATAGGATGTAGTCAATGCAGTGCTGAGTCACTAGTTTCACCAATAAAAGGATTTCTCATAGTGTAACAGGATGTTCTTCTTTCCTCCCCCTATGTGCCCCCTAAATCTGTTCTAAGTGTTTCCCCAACCTTGTGGAGCAGATTTGGGAATGGAGTGGGGAAGGAGATTTGTGTGTGGGGGGTGTCTCAATTGCACTAGCACTTAGTTGAATACCACCCCATGTCTCTAATGAATGCCACATCTGAATGCTTAAACAAGGCTTATAAGACAGCAGGTTATTATTTCAGCCCCGATACTGATCACTTCTACCCTCCAGTAATCAAAGAATCCTGGATTTCTTTAACAAGCTTTGGTCCCAGCACAGATTCTTGCTATTTGTGGACTATAAATTTGTATTTTTTTCTTGCTGTTTCTGAATCTATTATTAGTGATTGATCCAAGAGAAGCTTTGCTATATTGACAGTGTTATTTCATTGCCTTTTGTGATTTGGAGATTGCTTTCATTATGCTATGGTGTTATGCGGATGCCTTCAGCACAGTCAGCTCTGAAGGTACTTTTACAGTTTCCTCCCTTTGAACACTCTTAAGTCTTCAGTACTGGCATGTCCTTTCCCATTTTGGCACATCCCTATTTTCAGAACGTCAGCATTTATATAATGGTTATCAGATGGTTTAGCTGTTGTCGTCTATGGCCTATAGTCCATTCTGTTGATAGTCAAGAGTTTCCTCTCCTCTTTAGTTTGTCTGTTCTAATCTAGTCACTCATTCAGTCCACTTCAACTCACACTCCTTTCTCCCTTGCAATGACATACTGTGATTGCTCCTGTTAAACTTAAACTTTCCAACCCGTCCTTTCGTCCATAGTCCTAGGTAGTTTTATCACAAAGCACATTCGGCTTTCCTTTCAACCGCCTACCTCTGAGACAGAATTGGACATTTGAGAAGAACCAGGTTTATCAGCAAACATAGGGTTGCCAGATCCTGTCTTTAAAAGTTTGAGTGCAACAGGAGAGTTGCTCTGCCAGTCTCCTTTGCCCACATTTCCTGCCTGCTGTAGTAGGGAAAACTTCAGTTTATTCTAGAGTAAGTGGGGAAGGAAAGTGCCAATCTGGCAGCACTTTTTGAAAGTTAACCAGGTTTCTTTCTAAGCACGCATCATTGCAGGTTAGGCTAGGATAGAGACAAATTGCTCACCCCAACTTCAGTATGAATAGATAAAAAGTGAACTGGTGAGATGCAGAGACCTCCCCAAAAGCAGTACAGCACATACAATAGATGTTCCTGTACATGCTGAATGAACAGGCCAGGTACAGTATTTACAGCAGATAGCATTTCCCTTACCCGCCCACCCACACCCAGTTCAACATGTGTATATTTAGGGGAGCAGCACAAATACACACAAACATTCAAGAGAACAGGCAACAGAATAAGAGGGTAGCACACAGTCAAATCAGAGAAGGGTAGCTCAAA